CTGAGAGAGAGAGAGAAGGGAAGCGAAAGTGCCTCTCTGTCTCTCTGTCTCTGCAAATGGCAGAGGAGGCCATGCGGAGACGGATGCGGAGCGGTGTCTCGGTTCCTAAGACCATCGGAAATATGTGTTTTCCGATGGTCTTAGGCGACCCCTGTGACAGGGTCGTTCGACCCCCAAAAGGGTCGCGACCCACAGGTTGAGAACCGCTGATTTAGAGAGAAAATATTCCTATTTTCCCCATAACAACAATCTTGTGAGATGGATTGATCTGGGAGAAAATAATCCAGCCAACTTTCATGCCTAAGGAAGGACTAGAACTCATTGTTCCTGGTTTCTAGGCCAGATACTTTATGGAACATTTCCCCTCTGGAGATAAGGATGAGCCTGCTGGTTTCCTAAGTTCTTAAATACCTTTCTATATGCCCAGACCCCAATTGTATGCAGGGACCCATTTTGTGATTAATTCAGTCATTATATAATGGGTGAATTATTCTCAGCTGCTATGTATTTTAATATTTATGTTATTTTAATTGTGAATATGTGGCCATACAGATAAAATAAATAATGTTAGTTCATTTATTTGTGATCAACTTTTTTTCTCTAATTTAGAATCACATTTAAACTCTGTTAGCCTTATACTCTAGGTTCAGTAGATCAATTTCCCTCATTTTCACTTCCCAAATTCCCACTGTTATTTTTAGTCTACCCATACCTTAACTCCAGTTTCATCACCATCTCCTCTCACTACATTGGGTCATCCAAGATTCTCTCAGATTTAAGTCTGTCTATCCTCAAACAGTATATTATAAACAATATATTACGAATCCCAAAATATTCTTTGTACTAACTAAGCAGTAACTGTTAGATACTTCCTTTTCTCTCAGTGATCTGGGAGTGCTTCAAAATGACTTGCTTAATCTTCAATTTTCCGTATTTTTTTCCTATTAAAAATACATCACTTCTCCTCTCTAGAAGACCTCCTAAGCATTTTCATATAGAAGTAGGAATATACAATACCACTATGCACAAAGTAAAAAAGGAGCAACCTGGTTAGGTCTATTGATTGGGACTGAACTTACAAAGATCATACATTATTCTCCAGAATATCTATATTTAGTCTATGCACATCCAAAATGTATTTCTTACTATAAGAATAAGTAATGAAGATAAGAGACAGGTAAGAACTATATGATGCAAAAGGCAACTTTCTGAGTAATCAAGTCATCTCCACAGCCATTCCCACCCTGTTTTAAATACAGACCCCTATGATTATGGACTCTTAGAACCTACAAAGTATCTCACTCGCCTTGCTATATAACAGTCTCATTTATACCTTTTCAAATGATCTTTCTTTCTCTGTTTGATTGTTTCTTGGAAAGAGTAAGGAAAACAACACATAAAATGGTGCTTGAAATCGATCAGGTAATTTGCACGAAGCCATATTTCCTGTTGAAAAAAATACTATATATCAAGGAATAAGTTATGGTAATCATTCTATCTAAGCAGTCCCAACTAAGGTTTTATGAAAAGCAGAATATTTTCATAAGTTACTGCAACAAGTTAAACAGTTTTCTTGCTAGGTATAACACAAATTATATAAATGCTCATTATTTTCTTTAATCAACTGAAAATAATGACATTTTTAATTCTGCCAAGCATTATAAAGCATACGGTAGAAGAAGCACTTTACAAAAAAAAAGCCCTTACATGAATGAAAGCAAATATACATGTCCCAGGATAATACTGCAGGATCCAATTTGGGTCAATCATTGAGACCAGAGGTTTAGTCTTCCGAGCTTTTGGACTTGTGCTGAAGCCCATCCTCAGGAAACTTCTCTTACCAGAACATGTGGTGAGAGAGAGAAATTCCCTGAGGAATTCTGTTAAGAGATAAGTCCCCTGAGGATGGGCTTCAGCACGAGTCCAAAAGCTTGGAAAACTAAACCTCTAGTCCAAGTGACTGACCCAAATTCGATCCTGCAAAGCCCTTACAATTTGTAGTAAGGCACTGTACTTGGGCTACAGTGAGGCCACAGAAAGCTATGCTGAAATTCGATCAAAAGCCTCTGTTGTCTGCCCCTGGGAATGTTAGGCAAAAGATGCTATTTACCTAGAAGTAATATTTTTTTTTTGAAATGAAGGTTTCTTTGAAGGATTCATAATTCTTGTACCTGGGGCTTGTGTGTGAATCTGGGAACTGTGGCTTTACAACCTTATTTCTAAACATGCAGCATGTATGTAACCCAGCTCTTGCTCTCCAAACACTCAGATCCCCTGGACTTTGAATTCTGAAATGTCCGAGACATCTCTGACCATAATGCTCATTTAGCTTGTTTCCTGATCACACCCATAATTGTTCTTTGCACTATTTTAGTAAATATGCAATAAAACATTCCTAACTCTAAGTAATAGTATTTATAATTCTAATTAATTAATTTTTCTTAGGTTCAGCCCATAAATTTTCAGCTTGAAATTTGAAATCCTAATCCTGCTCCCCACATAAAATTTGCCTATTTTGAGGAAGAAAAACACTTTCTGGTCAGTTTAACATCAAATTATCAGACAATCTAAGAAACTATTACAAGAAAAAGCTGCTTCAATTAGAAGCTGAATTGGTTAAAAAAAAAATCATCTATATTTTGATAGAATCCTCAGAATACTACTTTTAAAATTGTTTTCTATGAGTACAAGACAAGCAGTATTAGGAAAATGGGAAGTATTTATAACTGAAATATTTAAAATGAATATTATATTGTACAATTCATATAGGCTATGTAGTCTTTTCTCCTTTTCAGGAAAGAAAATTTTAGTTTTAATTCAATATTAAAAAAGGAAATAATCGGGCTTCCGGTGGTGACAGCTGGCATCGCATGGCGGCTTTTTTTTAGCCGCCCGTCCGGGAGCGCGTCAAAGCCTGAAGGGACAGCGTTTTCCAGCTGTCTCTCGGCTCGGAACCTCGCCCCTCGGGAGAAGAGGGGGGGGTGAGTATGTTCGGATAGGGCTTGAGCTTCCTTTCACCCCGGTTTTGCTTCAATCCGGGGTGGAAGATGTTAGCTCGCCCGGAGTCTGGACGTTCTCCGCGCCCCGAGACGCCTTCGCTCCTTTTATTAGGAGCGAAACCAGATGCGGCTCCCACCTCTGCAATTGAAGGTATTTGGACTTAAAATTATAAGCAGACAGAACGATGCAGGAGTTTGGCAATATAATGGTTTTTTCTGAGACTTTGGCTCTGAAAATTATCAACATCTTTTCTGATTTTGTGATGATTTAAAATGAGAGAAAATGGCTGCGGATCTGCCGTCTCTCTGGATTACTTTCGCTTTTTACTTTTACTCTCGTCTGGTTATCAACAGGATAAAGATACATTGAAAAAAAGGGAAAAAAAGTGAGAAAGTAATTTTTTTTGTTTTTACTTTTTGGTTGCTGCCTGGGATTTATTGAAAATGCCTCTATTTTTGAGCATAAATGATGTACAAGATGTTGTGATGCAAGTAGTCAAGCAATATAGTGAGGAAATTAAAGATATTTGGATGAAGAGAGTGGAAGAAATGGTGGCATTTATCCTTCAGAGGTTTATAGCAGAGGTTGAAGAAGGTGTGATGGAAATACTTCAAAATGAGCAAAATCGTGGAGATTTGGAAATCGATAAGTCTGAGAAGCTGGGAAAGGAAGTGGCAATAGACTTGGTTATGGTTTTGATGTACTTTTCTGATGAAATTTTGGGGGGAAAAGCGTTTATATCAAATTAATCTATGGGTTCTGCATCGGAGAAAACCAGCTGAAGATGTTGCTGCTTGGGTTTTTGGAAGAAGCTTACAGGCTTACTACCTGCAAAAACTTCAGACACGTTACAAAATATAAAAGGCACAAGGCGTAAAAAGCTGAAGACTTATTGATTTTGACTGATTTTGTATTAATGATGTGAAAAAGAATGAAAAATTG